GCTTGGCAATAGGTGTTTCCATTTGGTTTTTGTAACATGTTAACATGTTAACATATTTCTGCTCTATTACCGGAAAGGGTGAAGGCTATTCTTATTTTGTCATCATTTGACACTCGGCAGAAAGGGCCCATAGACTTATGCTATCATACCAATGTAAACAACGAAGGTATGTGTCAAGTGAAGTTATCAGAGATCCGACGGATTGACATCAAGTTAGCACGGGTGGCTAGGTACGGTGCGAACAGAAGGTCCACATACATACGAGGACATTTGTCAAGAGATGGAATTCCAGGTGTTTGGTTTGGTGACATTGACAGAATCAGAATCTTCATCTAGACTGGAGGAATTCGATGGACTATGAAGTGCTTATTCACGGATGTACAATAATGGAGAATGGGAGGTGTACGATGCCATCGATGTAACGATTTTTCGATTGACGATCTGCCTCCCATAGCCCCCCGCATTGTTTCTGTTTGCGAGAGACTTTCGATTAACGACGTGTTCAAGATATGACGCGGAACCTGCCGATGTCGTCCAATCGGAACGCTCCTAAGTGGGCTCCGGCAGCAGACTTCGGCCAATCGGCGACGTTCCTTTCATGAGTTTTTTTTTTACAGCAAGTGGCTGCTTCTTGTTTTTGTTACTTGAAAGCTAAATAAGATCAATAACCATTGCCACTAAAATGATTTGACGAGAGGCAAGAAAGTGACAAAAAGATGAATGTGCAAACACGAAATATTGAGAAACACTACAGAGGTGTAACCACATTCCTGCGGAGGGAGCTGGGCAGGAACGTGGGGTTGCTCGGTCAATGGCCAGGGTCAATGGCGGCGTGGTGTATTTCGCAAATATGGCCGACTGTGAGGGCGGGCACAAGCCCGGCGTGAGTAGGTTTAAACGTTGAGTTTATAAGGGCACCACTGGGTGACCAGCCCCCTCCCCACCCAGCCCCACCCCTCCCACCCCAACCCAGCTCCACCCTCCCCACACCAGACTCTCTCCACCCAGCCCGACCCCTCCCATTTTGGATGCACGACGGACGGACACTATACTCCCCTGTGGGCTGGTGGAACCAGGTTGGTTCCTACCAGTACAAGCGTTCTTAACATGTTATTAGACCGTTCATTTATTAATATTGCCTATTTAAATATTATAAACTATGTTTGAAGGTGTAAAGGGTCAACTTTCCGATCGTATAGGAACAAACTCAGGGGCCGTCCATAAATTACGTCACGCACCTGGGGGGGGTCCGACATTTGTGACGATGTGTGACGAGGGGGGGTGAGAAATATGACGTCACGTAAAAATGCGCAACTTTAAATAAATATAGAATTGTTATAACAACACTAATTGTTTAACAACACTCCTACAATATTAGAGTGCAGCGAACACATTAAATACGCACTACAAGGACATAGTTTAAAGCGATTTGAAGCCATGTTTTATTTCAAAATGGAAATATGGTTTTGGGGGGGGGCAGAAATTTGTGACGTCATATTTGAGGGGGGTTCTGACTTTTTGTGACGCCGTGTGACGAGGGGGGGGGGGGTCAAAAAATCGTCCAAAATCGCGTGACGTCATTTATGGACGGCCCCTAATCCATTAACATGACTTTATTACGTTTAGATTAACAATAACTTGATTAGGAGCTTTCGTGACTGCAGGAATTACTCTTTGGTTCTTTAAGTGAAGCCCCGTAGAAATAAAAATAAATTAAATAATAGAATACGACATTTCAATTGCAACACAAGCAAGATAAGATGGTCCAAAATGTGTAATTAAGTCTTTTTTGCGTGGTTTATAACATCTTTCCAATGATTACTAAGTTTGTACCCATCATCACGGTTGAAATTATGTCTGTGTTTGTATATTTGTATGGCCTCGTGTACCAAACCTCTGATGGGTAGCCAGGAGGTTTGCAGAGAACCTTGGTCTCGGAAAAAGACAATTTCATGAGAGCCCACCGAGTTGTAGCAATGATCGGCAACGGCCGAAGAATCAGTTCTGCCGTGTTTCAGATCTGACTTGTGCTCGCGGACACGATCAGCAACATGACGTTTCGTTTCTCCAATGTAGCAATCACCACAAATGCAACTCAATTTATAGACTCCAGGATACTGTAATTCAGGAACGACATCCTTCACAGATGGAATCAGATCACGGATTTATGCACTGTACTGAATCGGACTTGGATCTTATGTTTGTTTAGAATTTTGGAGATCTTTTTGGTCACGCCTGCTATGTATGGTAACGTGATAGTTTTGGTCGGAGGTTTCAGTGGCTGTTCTGTGTGGTGGGAGAACAACAGTTGGCGGTATAGTGCGGTCAGAGTATCCGTTCATCCTGAGGGCCCGATGTATTAATTTTAATGTTTTACCTACGTGACTTTACCGAAAACACCTAAGAATATGAATCCTTGCAGTCACGAAAGCTTCAAATCTAGAATGTATTTTGTGTCTCTCTCAAATTTAGCAATCTTTGGAAGTACTAACCAACCACGTAGGGTGTTGACTGTTATGTTAGCCGACTCTCTGTGTTGTATTGCATTATATTTCTAAGTTTACTAGGTTTGTTTTCTGTTTCATCTCGTACTTGATGATGATTGCTTTTGTTTGCAATCGAAACGTCGTATGCTATTATTTAATTGCTTTTTCTTTTCTCCGTGACTTTACCGAAAGACGCAAAGAGTAGATATAACAATGACTTGCAAATTTACGATCGATTTTTTCGTTAAAGGCTGAAGAGATTTTCTGACGTAATTGAAGGATTTAGTTTGTTTGTAAAACAAATGTTCATGAACAACAGGTAGGGGCACACCGAATACCGCGAGGATGTCCGAGTCCAATGGAAGTTCATGTCACGGTAACCGTTTGTATCTGATGTGGTTTTACTTTAATGACTTTAGTTCATGGCAAATACAGCCCTTCAATGCGTACGTGTCTAATGATTGATTTTGCCGTTGCAGTGCCACCAACAGTCAATGTCCAGCATCATCATCAACAACTCTACAGTCATGACGGTATCATGGGCAACTATTATTGCTGAGACGGTGACTACTACACGTGTCTACTTGAATGAAACCAATAACTCAACAGCAGTGAGGAACAACGATTTATCCTCCACCAATACAACACAAGTGTTTACAGATCTGGTTCCTGGTAGAAGTTACCAGGCATCTGTAACAGCGCACAGTGGCAATGACTCCCAACCATCAGGCATCGTCCAAGCCAGGACATGTACGTATATATGCAGCGTTCATCTTCGTGTAATCACATTGATGTTTGATATGTTTTCAAAGCATGCAAAAAAAATCGACATTTAATAAACGTATTCAATGTCAAGCATTATTGACAACATTAAATAACTTAATTAGTACGTATTTAGGGATCGAGAACATATTAAGTCATTTTCAGGATGGCCCCTAATCCATTAACATGAATTTCTTACGTTAGATTAACAATAACTTGATTAGGAGCTTTCGTGACTGCAGAAATTACTCTTTGGTTCTTTCGGTGAAGCCCCGTAGAAAGAAAAATAAATTAAATAATAGAATACGACATTTCGATTGCAACACAAGCAATCACCATCAGGTACGAATGAATAGGGAAAACAAACCTAGTAAACTTAGAAATAAAATGCAAATACAACACAGCGAGTCGGCTAACACAACAGTCAACACCCTACCTGGTTGATTAAGGTTCTTCCAAAGAACGCTAAATTTGAGAGAGAGAGAGACAAAACACAGACACGGAGACAACACAGACAGACACATAAGCAGAGAGAGATAACACAGAGACACACAGAGAGAGACACACACACATAGGCACACAGAGAAACAACGCCTCTGTGTCGAGGCCTTAAATAGAGAGATGGGGCAGAGAGAGGGGGGTAGAGAAATTAACATGTCAATGAGAGATTTGAAGCTTTCGTGATTGCAGCAAATACTAGAGCGACAACACAAGGACACAGAGAGAGAGAGAGAAAACACACTTAATAAAATCAAACTTAGTAAAAATGGAAATGTAATGCAACACAGAGAGTCGGTCAACACACAACGCATAGCCTGGTTGATTTCGTTCTTTCAAAGATTGCTAAATTAGAAGTTAAGTGTGAAAATTTTGAGAGAGAGACAAGACACAGACAGGGAGACACAAAGACAGACACAATCAGAGAGAGACAACACAGAGACACACACAGAGAGAGAAAACACACTTAATGAAAACAAACTTAGTAAAATTTTGAAATGTAATGCAACACAGAGAGTCGGTCAACACACAATTAACGCATAGCCTGGTTGATTACGTTCTTTCAAAGATTGCTAAATTAGAAGTTAAGTGTGAAATTATGAGACAGAGACAAGACACGGAGACACAAATACAGACACACAAACAGAGAGAGACAACACAGAGACACAGAGAGAGATAACACAAACTTAAACCCTCCCCGTAGAGGTGGTTCAAACTTGATTTCGAGCTTTCGTGACTGCAGGAATTGTATTTGGTGTCTCTCTCAAATTTAGCAATCTTTGGAAGTACGTAACCAACCACGTAGGGTGTTGACTGTTATGTTAGCCGACTCTCTGTGTTGTATTGCATTATATTTCTAAGTTTACTAGGTTTGTTTTCTGTTTCATTCGTACTTGATGATGATTGCTTTTGTTGCAATCGAAACGTCGTATGCTATTATTTAATTGCTTTTTCTTTCTCCGTGACTTTACCGAAAGACGCAAAGAGTAGATTAACAATGCTTTCAAATTTACGATCGATTTTTTCGTTAAAAGGCTGAAGAGATTTTCTGACGTAATTGAAGGATTTAGTTTGTTTGTAAAACAATGTTCATGAAAACAGGAGGGCACACGAATACCGCGAGGATGTCCGAGTCCAATGGAAGTTCATGTCACGGTAACCGTTGTATCTGATGTGGTGTTACTTTAATGACTTTAGTTCATGGCAAATACAGCCCTTCAAATGCGTACGTGTCTAATGATTGATTTTGCCGTTGCAGTGCCACCAACAGTCAATGTCAGCATCATCATCAACACTCTACAGTCATGACGGTATCATGGGCACCTATTATTGCTGGAGACGTTGACTACTACATGGTCTACTTGAATGAAACCAATAACTCAACAGCAGTGAAGAGCTCCGATTTGTCCTCCAACATTACAACACAAGTGTTTACAGATCTGGTTCCTGGTAGAAGTTACCAGGCATCTGTAACAGCGCACAGTGGCAGTTACTCCCAACCATCAGCCATCTTCACTGCCAGGACATGTACGTATATAAGCAGCGTTCATCTTCGTGTAATGGCTTTGATGTTTGATATTTGTTCAAAACATGCTCAAAAATCGACAACATTTAAAAAACTTTTTCAATATATCCCCAATTATTGACAACATTAATAACTGAATTAATACGTCTTTAAGGATTGACAACATATGAAGTAATTTTCAAGAGCTAACATGTTTATGTTTGCTGCGTACTTGTAAAAGTAACGAATTATTGTACATTTGATAATAGGGACACATTAAATCAACAGGCGTTGTATATGTTAAATTATCAAACATGTTCTGTCATAAACATCTACATGTTTAAGAAAAAGAAAATGGCCAACCCTGTGCTTATGGATTACATTAATCTGTTCTTCATATCGATATATTGTATGCATAAGCTAGGCATTCGTTGAACTTCTTTAGCACCGTACGTAGCCAACCATGTTAAACGGAGGTGCGAGGAAGGACAACAAATGAAATTAACACCAAAATAATTCCACTGTACAGTATTTTTATTAACGGTGACTAACCTAACCGATAATTGGTACAGTACTGCATGTTCTCAGATTAACACAATTCATTGTAATTTACATGACCACATTCACCCCACCCTGGTCTTCGCACCTGATAGGCTCACAGTGATGACATCACCTTTACTCCTCTATTTAAGACCGAACCAAGAAGACTTCTTTACAATTGTGGCAAATCGCCTGAAGCTGGTTGTAATTACCAAGGAAATGTCAGATAGTAAATGTTGTGGGTTTAATCTCCAACACACCGTTATGCTGAAGAAGTAACTGGCACGTTTTGTTTACGTGACAAACCTTACTAAGTGGCTGTGTCGGGTGGTGGTGGGTTAACGACACATTTATATTCAAGCGATCAAAGCCAAAAAATTGCGTTTATTACGCATAATATTGGTAATAAAAGCATACTTTTAGACTGCTTATGCAATGCCACTCGAGAGAAGCCTGCTATAAACGTTGAGTTCCTTCTTTTGGAGGAATGCGAAGCTTCATTATAATCTCTCGAAGCGAACTCATTGAGGCTCCGGCCTTTTCCGGTTATTGGGAATATCCAGCATTAAGTAAAATAATGATTTGAGCAAGTTTGTATTATATTTACACATCATTTATTACTTAATCGCAATTAACATGTTAGAATTCTATACAAGTTGATAAATGATTACAGTATAACATGAGTCGCCATTATTGTAAAGCAGAGGTGGAAAGCTGAAGTTTACTAGATTTCGAAGGCTGAAGAGATTATCTAACGTAATTGAAGGATTTAGTTTGTAAAATAAATGTTCATGAAAACAGGAGAGCACAAGAATCCCGTGTGGATGTCCGAGTCCAATGGAAGTCCACAACACAGCAACCGTTGTATCTGATGTGGTGTTACTTGAATGACTTTAGTTTATGACAAATACAGATCCTGAAATGTGTACGTCTCTAAATATTGATTTTCCCGTTGCAGTGATTCTATCAGTCAACGTCACCATCAGCCCCATCAACTCTACAGCCATGAATGTCTCATGGAAAACGAATCTTCTCGCTGTAGACGTTGACAACTACACGGTCTACTTGACTGAATCTAAGAACGCAACAGCAGTGCAGAGCTCCAATTTCCCCTCCACCATTACAACAAAAGAGTTTACAGGTCTGGTTCCTGGTAGACTTTACCAGGCGTCTGTAACAATGCACAGTGGCATTGACATCCAATCATCAGCCAACGTCAGTGACAGAACCTGTACGTATATAAGCAGCGTTCATCTTCGTGTAATCAGTTTGATGTTTGATATGTTTTCAAAACATGCAAAAAAAATCGACAACATTGAATACACTTACTCAATGTCCCCCATTATTGACAACATTAAATAACTTAATTAGTATGTATTTAGGGATCGAGAACATATGAAGTAATTTTCAGGAGTTAAAATAAAAGTTTGCTGCGTACTTTAAAAAGTAACGAATTAATTGTACATTTGATAATCGGTACACATTAAATCAACAGGTGTTGTATATGTTAAATTATCAAACATGTTCGGTCATGAAATATCTACAAGCATAGAAAAAGAAAATAGCAGGCCCCAACAATGTGCATTTGGATTACGTGAATCTGTTCCGAATATCGGTATGTTTTATGCATATTATAGGTTTGTATGTTGCAATTTTTTAGCACCGAACGTAGCCAACCGTGTTAATCAAAGTTACGGGGAAAGACAACGAACTAAACTAAAGACAAAATCATTCCGCTCGACAGTACAGTGCTGCATATTCTCAGATTAACATAATTAATTGTAATGTATACGACCACATTAACCGCACCCTGGTATTCGCATCTGATAGGCTCACATTGATGACATCACCTTTACTCCTCTATTTAAGACAGAACCAGGAAGACTTCTTCACAATTCTGGCAAATCGCCTGATGAAGCTGGTTGTAATCACCAGCAAAACGCCAAATTGTAAATGTTGTGGGTTTAATCTTCAACACACCTTTGTGCTGAAGAAGTAACTGTCGTGTTTTTGTTTACGTGACAACCCTTACTAAGTGGCTTTGGGTTAACGACACATTTATATTTACGCAATCTAACCCAAAAATAACCTTTATTGTGCATAATATTGGTGGTGAAAGCTTACTTTTAGACTGCTTATGCAATGTTGCTTGACACAAGCTTTATGTAAACATTGAGTAGGCTCTTTTGGAGGAATGCTAAGTTTGATTATAATCTCTCGAAGCGAGACTCATTGAGGCTCCGGCCTTTTCCAGTTATTGGGAATATCCAGCGTGAAAGGTAATGATTTGAACAAGTTTGTATTATATTTACACATGATAGGAGCGTTTTTGATTTATTACTTAATAGTAATTAACATGTTTAGAATTCAATACAAATATCTACGCTAATCGCCCAGAAATACTCTTTGGTTTTTTCGGTAAAGTCACGTAGGTGAAAATGAAATAAAATGAAAACTAAATTAATTCACGACGTTTCGGGCACAACACAAGCATCTGTCATCAGGTGGGGACAACCACAGAAATAACAGTTGCTGAGGTATGCCAAAGAGATGGCTCTGACAAGGGTTTATACAGCTGAGGAGGGGGGGGGGGGGGACGAGGGCAGGGTGAGTGTGGGGGCGGTGCGTGGTCTGGGGAAGCCAGTCCTAATGCTGGGCATACTGCTCATGTACCACGGGTGGTGGGGGGGGGGGCGTTGGGACAAAACTACACGATTGGAACACTTCACATCAAATTTCCTAGTGATGGTAGTGTGCAAGGCTGGGATTAAAAGACTGGAGATGTGGATATGAATATAAACTATAAGGCAGCTAAGGTTTAATTTGGCTTATAACATCTTTCCAATGATTGCTCCATCTTCTCGGTTGAAGTTATGTCTATGTTTGTATATCTGGATGGCTTCATGGACAAATCTTTGGTGGTATCCAGACGGCTTGCAGAGTCCTTTGGTATCGGAGAAAACAAAATCATGAGAACCCACCGCATTGTAGCAATGGTCAGCCACGGCAGAATAATTCGTCCTACCGTGTTTCAAATCTGGCTTGTGCTCGCGAATGCGGTCAGATACATGTCGTTTCGTTTCCCCAATATAACAATCGACACAAATGCAACTCACCCAGGAATGTCTGTCCTTAACGCTCGTGACGTCACTCCACATGCTGCACCCCTCATTAATAATCATGAGCTGATGACATCACTCAAGTCGGCCCCACCCCCTTATTAATAATCATGAGAGGTCTTGATTTTCTCGTAACTGCAGGAATCCATAGTCTTTGGTTCTTTCGGTAAATTCTAGATTTGAAGCTTTCGTGACTGCAAGGATTCATACTCTTAGTTCTTTCGGTAAAGTCACGTAGGTAAAAAAATGAAATAAAATTTAATAACAATAAAACAATAAAATCATGACGTTTCGGAGCAACACAAGTCTCCGTCATCAGGTGGGACCGTCACAGCCAGATTTGCTGCATCAAGTGTGGCAGGGATTCAAGATGCAAGCTCTTAAATACAAGTTAAGGGCGGTAAAGTCACGTAGTCAGAAATAAAATAAATCGCGACGTTTCGATCGCAACATAGTCGGTCGTCATCACCCTTTGCCTGATGACGACCGCTTGTGTTGCGATCGAAACGTCGTTATTTGTTTAATTTGATTTCTAACTGCGTGACTTTACCGAAAGAACCAAAGAGTAATCATGAGCGGGCAGAGGTCGCAATCGGCTACCCGATACCCGTACCCTACCCGATACCCGACTACCCATACCCGGCCGGGTACGGGTACGGGTAGGCCGTGAGTCACTGGTGAGTAACCGTTTGTCACTCATTTCCCAACGTCTTGTCTCTTTTCACAATTCAAGTTCCTAGAATCAACCCACCCGCGCCTGCAACATGGCTTCATCCCAGAGGTCGCAATCGGGTACCCGAACCCTACCCGATACCTGGCTACCCGTACCCGGCCGGGTATCGGGTAGGGTTCGGGTACCCGTTTGCGACCCTGGTGCGGCCGGGTACGGGTAAGGAATCAAAACCCGTTTGCGACCTCTGTGAGCGGGTCATTAGTTTCGATTGAATATTTCAGATGAACTGCAATTTCCACCCGTCCTTGGACGGGCTATAAGCTAGTTAATAAAGAATTACAGTATAACATGAGTCACCATTATTGTAAAGCAGAGGTGAAAGCCGAAGTTTACTAGATTCATCTTCTTGGTTCTTTCGGTAAAGTCACGTAGAAGGGAAGTAATAATGAGGACGGCTGCTTGCGTTGTGGCCGAAACGTCGTGAGAATTATTTTATTGTTTTATTTTTATTATTTTATTACTTCCCTTCTACGTGACTTTACCGAAAGAACCAAGAAGATGAATCCCTGCAGTCACGAAAGCTTTAAATAGAAATTTTACTAGATTTGTAAGGCTGAAGAGACTTTATAACGTAATTGAAGGATTTAGTTTGTAAAATAAATGTTCAAGAAAACAGGAGAGCACTCGAATACCGTGTGGATGTCCGAGTCCAATGGAAGTTCATATCACAGTAACCGTTGTATCTGACGTGGTGTTACTTTAATGACTTTAGTTCATGGCAAATACAGCCCTTGAAATGTGTACGTGTCTAATTATTGATTTTGCCGTTGCAGTGCCTCCATCAGTCAATGTCACCATCAGCCCCATCAACTCTACAGCCATAAATGTCTCATGGGCACCTACAATTCCTGCAGACGTTGACAGCTACACGGTCTACTTGAATGAAACCAATAACCCAACAGCAGTGAATAGCTCCAATTTGTCCTCCAACATTGCAACACAAGTGTTTACAGATCTGGTTCCTGGTAGAAGTTACCAGGCATCTGTAACAGCGCACAGTGGCAGTTACTCCCAACCATCAGCCAACTTCACTGCCAGGACCTGTACGTATATGCAGCGTTCATCCTCGTGTAATCCCTTTGATGTTTGATATTTGTTCAAAACATGCTCAAAAATCGACAACATTTAATACACTTATTCAACGTCAACCATTATTGACAACATTAGATAACCGAATTAATGCGTCTTTAGTGATGGACATCATATTAAGAACTTTCCAATTATTAAAAATATTACGTTTGTTGCGTACTTTTAATTTTACATTTGATAATCGGTACACATTCAATCAACAGGTGTTGAAAATGTTAAATGATCAAACATGTTCCGTCATAAAACATCTAAAAGCTTAAAATAAGAGAATGCCCAACCCTGTGCTTATGGATTACATGAATCTGTTCCTAATATCGGTATATTTTATGCATATTCTGAGTATGTGTTGAACTTCTTAGCACCGTATATAGCCAACCGTGTTAATCAGAGGTATGGGGAAGGACAACAAACTAAACTAATATTCTTAGGTTTTTTCGGTAAAGTCACGTAGGTAAAACATCAAAATTAATAAAAATAAAATAAAACAAAAATCACGACGTTTCGGAGGCAACACAAGTCTCCGTCATCAGGTGGGACCGTCACAGCCGGATTAGCTGCATCAAGTGAGGCAATGATTTAAGATGTAATCCCTTAACAAGCAAGTTGAGGGGGAGGAGAGGGGGGGGCTAATCAGAATGTGGTTGCCAATGAATGGAACGTATCGGGGGGGGAGGGGGGGCGGGGCTCAAAGACGGCAAGGACTGCCAACGTACAACGCATCGGGAGGGGGAGGGGGGGGCGGGGCCAAAACTGTGAAACGCATCGCGAGGGGGGGGGGGGCCAAAGAGTGTACGACGGCATCGACGCTGTTGCTGTTGCACAACGCCAACGCATTGGACAGAGAGGGGGAGGGGAGGCCTGATACACATGATAGAAAATAACAACAATGCCCATGTTTATACCAATGCTGGCTGAACAATGAAGAGAGTACTGTTAAATACTGGGGAAGTTAACACTCGGTAAAGTAAAGTAAGATAGTGCCTGTCAGATAAGATGGTCCAAAAAAGTGTAATTAAGTCTTTTTTGCGTGGTTAATAACATCTTTCCAATGATTACTAAGTTTGTACCCATCATCACGGTTGAAATTATGTCTGTGTTTGTATATTTGTATGGCTTCGTGTACAAACCTTTGATGGTAGCCGGGAGGTTTGCAGAGAACCTTGGTCTCGGAAAAGACAATTTCATGAGAGCCCACCGAGTTGTAGCAATGATCGGCAACGGCCGAAGAATCGGTTCTGCCGTGTTTCAGATCTGACTTGTGCTCGCGGACACGATCAGAAACATGACGTTTCGTTTCTCCAATGTAGCAATCACCACAAATGCAACTCAATTTGTAGACTCCAGGATACTGTCTACAAATTGAGTTGCATTTGTGGTGATTGCTACATTGGAGAAACGAAACGTCATGTTTCTGATCGTGTCCGCGAGCACAAGTCAGATCTGAAACACGGCAGAACCGATTCTTCGGCCGTTGCCGATCATTGCTACAAATCGGTGGGCTCTCATGAAATTGTCTTTTCCGAGACCAAGGTTCTCTGCAAACCTCCCGGCTACCATCAAAGGTTTGTACACGAAGCCATACAAATATACAAACACAGACATAATTTCAACCGTGATGATGGGTACAAACTTAGTAATCATTGGAAAGATGTTATTAACCACGCAAAAAAGACTTAATTACACTTTTTTGGACCATCTTATCTGACAGGCACTATCTTACTTTACTTTACCGAGTGTTAACATCCCCAGTATTTAACAGTACTCTCTTCATTGTTCAGCCAGCATTGGTATAAACATGGGCATTGTTGTTATTTTCTATCATGTGTATCAGGCCTCCCCTCCCCCTCTCTGTCCAATGCGTTGGCGTTGTGCAACAGCAACAGCGTCGATGCCGTCGTACACTCTTTGGCCCCCCCCCCCTCGCGATGCGTTTCACAGTTTTGGCCCCGCCCCCCCCTCCCCCTCCCGATGCGTTGTACGTTGGCAGTCCTTGCCGTCTTTGAGCCCCGCCCCCCCTCCCCCCCGATACGTTCCATTCATTGGCTACCACATTCTGATTAGCTCCCCCCCCCTCTCCTCCCCCTCAACTTGCTTGTTAAGGGATTACATCTTGAATCATTGCCTCACTTGATGCAGCTAATCCGGCTGTGACGGTCCCACCTGATGACGGAGACTTGTGTTGCCTCTGAAACGTCGTGATTTTTGTTTTATTTTATTTTTATTAATTTTGATGTTTTACCTAGGTGACTTTACCGAAAAAACCTAAGAATATGAATCCTTGCAGTCACGAAAGCTTCAAATCTAAAACTAAACTAAATGCAAAAATAATTCCACCTTACAGTACATTGATTAAAGGTGACTAACCCAACCGATAATAGGTACAGTACTGCATATTCTCAGATTAACATAATTTATTATAACTTATATGGCCACATCAACCCAACTGTGGTATTCGCACCTGATAGGCTCACAGTGTTGACATCACATTTGCTCCTCTATTTAAGACCGAACCGGGACGACTTCTTCACTATTCTGGAAAATCGCCTGATGAAGCTGGTTGTAATCACCAGCAAAACGCCAAATAGTAAATGTTGTGGGTTTAATGTCCAACACACTGCTGTGATTAAGAAGTAACTAGCACGTTTTGTTTATGTGACCGACCTGACTAATTGGCTGTGTTCGATGTTAGTGGGTTTACGACACATTTATATTTACGCAATCTAACCCAAAAATGACCTTTATTATGCATAATATTGGTGGTGAAAGCTTACTTTTAGACTGCTTATGCAATGCCGCTTGACACAAGCCTGATATAAACATTCAGGACCCTTTTTTGGAGGAATGCTAAGTTTAATTATAATCTCTCGAAGTGAGACTCATTGAGGCTCTGGCCTTTTCCAGTTATTGGGAATATCCAGCGTGTAAGTAAGATAATGATTTGAACAAGTTTGTATTATATTTACACGTCATAGGAGCGTGTTTGATTCATTACTCAATAGTTATTAACATGTTCAGAATTCAATACAAATATCTATGATAATCACCCAGGAATGTCTGTCCTTAACGCTCGTGACGTCACTCCACATGCTGCACCCCTCATTAATAATCATGAGCTGAAGCGTCACTCATGTCGACCCTGTCCCTACCCCCTCATTAATAATAATGAGTGGCTTAAAGCCTTCGTCACTGCAGGAATTCATATTCCTTGGGTCTTTCGGAAAACTCACGTGACTTTCCCGAAAGACCCAACGAATAATCACGAGCGGGTCATTAGTTTCGATTGAATATTTCATATTAACTGCAATTTCCACCCGTCCTTGGACGGGCTAAAAGCTAGTTAATAAATAATTACAGTATAACATGAGTCACTATTATTGTAAAGCAGAGGTGGAAGCCGAAGTTTACTAGATTCATCTTCTTGGTTCTTTCGGTAAAGTCACGTAGAAGGGAAGTAATAATGAGGACGGCTGCTTGCGTTGTGGCCGAAACGTCGTGAGAATTATTTTATTGTTTTATTTTTATTATTTTATTACTTCCCTTCTACGTGACTTTACCGAAAGAACCAAGAAGATGAATCCCTGCAGTCACGAAAGCTTTAAATAGAAATTTTACTAGATTTGTAAGGCTGAAGAGACTTTATAACGTAATTGAAGGATTTAGTTTGTAAAATAAATGTTCAAGAAAACAGGAGAGCACTCGAATACCGCGAAGATATCCGAGTCCAATGGAAGTTCATATCACAGTAACCGTTGTATCTGACGTGGTGTTACTTTAATTACTTTAATTCAAGGCAAATACAGCCCTTGAAATGTGTACGTGTCTAATTATTGATTTTGCCGTTGCAGTGCCTCCATCAGTCAATGTCACCATCAGCGCCAACAGCACTACAGTCATGACGGTCTCATGGGCACCTAATATCACTGTAGACGTTGACTACTACATTGTCTACTTGAATGAAACCAATAACTCAACAGCAGTGAAGAGCTACAATTTGACCTCCACCAATACATCTCAAGTGTTTACAGATCTGGTTCCTGGTAGAAGTTACAACGCATCTGTAACAGCGCACAGTGGCAATGGCTCCCAAGCATCAGCCATCGTCACAGCCAGGACATGTACGTATATGCAACGTTCATCCTCGTGTAATGGCTTTGATGTTTGATATTTGTTCAAAACATGCTCAAATATCGACAAAATTTAAAACACTTATTAAATTTGTCCCCAATTGTTGACAACATTAAATAACGGAATTAATACGTCTTTAATGATGGGCATCATATGAAGTAATTCCTAAGAATGAAAAAGATTACGTTTGTTGCGTATTTTTAATTGTACATTTGATAATCGGTACACATTCATACTCTTAGGTTTTTTCGGCAAAGTCACGTAGGTAAAAAATAAGAATAAATAATAAAAATAATAGAAGTAATAATAAAAATACAATTTTATTTTATTTCTATTCTATTTTTTTTACATTTTTTACCTACGTGACTTTACCGAAAAAACCTGAGAGTATGAATCCTTGCATTCAAGAAAGCTTCAAATCTAGAATTAGGTACACATTCAATCAACAGATGTCGTATATGTTAATTTATCAAACATGTTCCGTAATAAAACATCTGCAAGCTTAGAAAAAGAGAATCCCCAACCCTGTGGTTATGGATTACGTGAATCTGTTCCTAATATCAGTATATTTTATGCATATTCTAGGTATGTGTTGAACTTCTTAGCACCTTATATAGCCAACCGTGTTAGTCAGAGGTATGGGGAAGGACAACAAACTAAACTAAATAGAAAAATCATTCCAATGTACAGTATATTGATGAACGATGACTAACCCAACCGAGAATAGGTACAGTGCTGCATGTTATCAGATTAGCATAATTCATTGTTATTTATATGACCACATCAACCCCACCCTGGTCATCGCACCTGATAGGCTCACAGTGTTGAC